ACATTCTCACATACACTCACATACATACATTCTCACACACGTACACACTATAAAAATCAGCGTTAAAGAAGGGAAACAGCAGTCACAGCTGTGCTAGGATTAAAGAAAAAACAAACAAAAATCCCCAAACCTTGAATTTCCGTTTTCTTTGGAATAAGGTCAGACTCCACAGGTACCCACTGGAGTGGGAGGAGCAGAGAGCATGGACTTTGCCATCACAGCTTTGGATTCCAGCTGAGCCGCTAACTAGTTCTGTGACATCTTGGAAGTGCCTGGACTCTGTTGCTTCTGAGCTCGGTTTCTGTCTGACCAGCGCCCATGACGTCAGTTGGAGGTGCTCGACTGCACAGGGCCATGAGGGGCGCTAAGAAGCCCCGTGTTTGGTTCCCTTCTTTCCTTGAGCTCGCATCTGATGCTGTCCACTCCGAGCCTCCCCAGCCAGCTTGCTCTTGGCTACCTCTTGTCGTTTGACAGAATTGCTTGTTCTTTTGTGTGCATTGTAGCAATAGTTTTACTAACTCGACGAATATTCATTGCGTTTACTTATTTTCATATCATAGAATTCTCTTCATTGACCCTCTGTGCTATTGACTAGGTCCTTGAGAAAGAGCCTAGGTCTGTTACGTACTTGGTGTGCTCAGAAGACTCTGAAAGGATCGTTGCCGATGTGAGCCCCAGTTAGATTCTAAGGCAGGGTTGTTGGTGTCCGCATCATTGGTCTGTGCATTTTGTAGCGCTTTGTGCAGAGACTGCACTGGACATCTAATGAATGTTCACAACTTAACTCAGAAAAAGACCCTTTGCTTTCAAAGTAGCTACATTATTAAAAACTGTATATGTGAACTGTACTCGACAGGTTTGCCCTAATACTCCTATTGTTTATTACTTGTTAGTATTTGTATATGGGTGTTTTCTAGGTTCAAACCCCTGCAGAATAATTGAATTTGAGATTTTTCATATGTTAGAGTGTGTGGTACTGGTGAGATCGATTGCTGGGTAAAGGCGCTTGCTGCTAAGCCTGATACCTGAGTGTGATCCCTGGAACCCACACGGTGGAGGGAAATAACTTGTCTACACACATGTGGCACACACATGCCCAAATGTATACATACACACTACATAAATTTTAAAGAGCGTCTGATTACAGTGCTAATAAATTACGCCTCCAGGAATTTTCCGTTGTGTTTAATTTCCCTGTGAGGACCACAGGACTTGGTTGGTCCCATCGCTGTGTCTGCACTCTCATTGTACTTTGCACTTCCACACCACACTCAGGGAAACCTGCGCCCAGGAGTAGGTTGTCTGAATAGCTGAAAATAAGCTCTGCCTAAGCCTTTTCCTCCCTCTCGACTGGAGGTCAGATGCAGGCCTCCTCACATGCTAGGCCAGTGCTCTGCCACCCAGTACCTGTGCATATTCGTACCCTAAACTAGGTAGGAGCTACAGCCCCCCCCCCCAATGTTATTAAAGGATTTTACTTGCTTGCGTCTGAAACCTTCCGTTATTTTATCTCTATTGACAGACTGCATCGAAAACCTCCACCTTTGCTCCGGCGTCCAATAGTTATGACAGGACATTTTTGTAAACAGTTTGCTTATTATTGAACAGTTGGTACCAGACCTGAAGGGAGGCAGAGGCAGGTGGATCTCTGAGCTCCAGGGCAGAAGAGTAATAGAGGTGATTTTGTAGAGGAAGCTTTCAGTCGAGTCTTTTATGTTTATGTTCAGAACGGGAGATTTTTAGGTCGTGTTCAGCTCTTTTGCTTTTAGACAAGACGTTTCTTTATGGAGAAAACAAGTGGGTAGACCAGGATCAGAGCTGAGATTCCCCAGTCAGCGTGTGGCTGGGCAAAACTTTACAATGTATCGTTAGCCATGCAAGAGCAAGCTGCTGGCCTTGTGATCAACAAGGTATTTGACCACTGCTCCTCTCAGTCACCTTCTCAGCGTTTGCCTTAGGTTGGGGTGTGGGAGGCAGCAGGCGCTCCCTGTGGTGGGTGGAGCAGAGCTCTGTATGGAAACCTTGAGAGCTGACGTTCGGAACGTAGCACACTGAATTTGGACCGCCTTCCCAGGTGTGAGCTGATAGAAGGGATCTATCAAATCATTTTGAACAATAACTTATTTTTCCCTCACTTGTGTGCAGAAGTTAATAAAAAAAAAAACGTTAAGGCACTTCACAGCCTGCTCAGATAAGGCTTGGGATGGAACCTGATTTGGGTGGCCCTCCCCAAGTAATTCATGAACTTGTTCTTTGTATTTTTATTAATGTTTTTGAGACAGTCTCACCACGTAGCCTGAGCTGGCCTTCGTCTGCCTTTAGAGTGCTGGGGTCACAAGCATGACCCCCACAAATGACTCATGCAAGTGTCTTATACAAGTTGTAAGTCAAAAATAAATGAGCATTTCAGAATACTCAGGATTTAATTATGTTGCTGGAGTAATAAAATAGCACAGAAATTTTTAAAGTTTATTATTACTGTTATTATGATTTTTTTTTTTAACTAGAGAAGAGGCTGGATGATATAGAATCCTGACTCACCCAAGAGTAGGTAGACAAAAAGTTTTAACTAGTTAAAGACAGGTTGCTTGCCCTGACTCATAGCATTTCACTGTTCACGTTGCTAAGTGACCGTAAACTGCCAGACCGGAAGCTTTTCCTGCGCACACTGCGGAGGTAATTGCGATACAGCATAACACTGATGACCCGAGCCTGGAACTGTTTGGAGACGATGTAGTAGAGGACGACGTCCAGGCAGGTGCTGAGGTTCATGAGGAAGGTGGTGAAGGCGCCCCAGGGGCTGTAGCTGCTCCCCTCCCCGCCCAGCATCAGGACGGCGAAGCAGATGTGGAAGGGCACGAAGCAGATCAGCACCTGCACCAGCAGGGTGATGATGATCCGGATGGACTTCTCCTTCACCTTGGGCGTCAGCTTGGATGTCTGCCCTCGCAGGAGGCTGTAGGTGATGACCACATAGCACCCGATCATGATGAACAGCGGGATCAGGAAGAAGAACACGAGCCGGGTGAAGTTCAGCACGTTGACGGCTTTTAGGTGGATGATGTCTGAAATCTTGAGGCAGGTGGCAGGCGAGGAGGCTTTATCGGGGTCTTCATAGAGCAGGAGCAGAGGGACAGTGGTAGTCAGGGTCATTATCCAGACCCCCACACAGGCCAGCACAGCCTTGCAGGTGTTCTTCAGTTCCTTGGCATATTTTGGCTGTACTATGGCCATGTATCTGTCAGCACTGATGAAAGCAAGAAGCCACAGAGCCATGCTTGGGTAAAACACCACCAGGGCCCCAAGAATGTGGCAGAAGTACTCCCCAAATGGCCATTCGCCTTTTGCATAGTAAAACATCCGAAAGGGTAGACTCAGGATAAATATTAAGTCCAGCAGCGCGACGTTCATCATGTAGACAGTCACGGTGGTTCTTTTCTTGGTTGTACAGCTGAAAACCCATAGCGCGGTGACATTAACAAATAATCCAATCAGGAAGATGCAGCTGTAGAAGACCAGGGCCGCGATCTTGAACTCATCTGGGTGTGAGCTGTTAGAAAGGACCAGCCCGTTGCGATTGCTGGGGGTGGTCATCTTACAGCAGGCCAGGGCCCATGTCGTGGGAACTGTAAGGATGATTAAGGAAACGGGGGATAAGAGCTTGGCTGGAAACAGGCTCAGCAACAGCAGGCGTCTTTGCTGTCAGTGAACTTCAATATTGAGGGCGTTTTATAGCGAAGAGTCCAGGTACACGCCTTAGTAGTTTTCAAGAACATATGCCCTAGATGTTATTGTTACTATTTACTGATTTCTTTAGTTTCTTTCCTCCTTCTTTCTCTTTTCTTCTTCCCTCCCTTCCTTTATTTTTGAGAAATGATTTCCCTGTATAAACCTGACTGTCCTGGAAATCACTATTTAAACCAAAGTGACCTTCCCCTCACAGAATTCTACCTGCCCTGCCTCCTGAATTACCTGTGATTAAAGATGTGCACGACCACGCCCAGCCCCAGTCAGTTCAGATGCCCTCAGGCACCATGATGCTCTGGGAGATTTGTCCAGTTTCATTGACCTTACTTATCTCTCTCTTTCCCAAATAATCAATTAAGAGACAGTGAGAATTCTCTGGAGTAATGGGAAAAGGGCCCATCTGGATTTTAAATCTTATAAAATGGCTTGTCAGTTTTTATCATTTTTATTCTCTTCATTTTATAACTCAAATAAGCAATGTTCAGATATTTCCTACACTGAATATGATCATAATTTACAAAACACGTGTCAGAACACTGACAGAGCCAAAACAGCAGACAGAGCTCTCGTGTGTGAGTGTAGGAACTTGGGTTTCTCTTGCCGCTCTGTCTCTGCTGCCCCTCTGGCACACAATAGGAAGCGCTCAATGGTCTGTGAGCGTTGAGTGAGCTGACCCTCACAGCTCTGACCTGCCTTGTCGGTGAGGTCTTGTAGTTCTCTGTTGACCCCACACCTTTTTTTGAAGTTGCAGACATTTCTCCTAGTGTCACCCTAAACTCTCTTCAGATTGCCGTGGGTCTGGACCACTGTGCCGTGGGTCTGGACCACTGTACCGTGGGTCTGGACCACTGTATCGTGGGTCTAGACCACTGTGCTGTGGGTCTAGACCACTGTGTCGTGGGTCTGGACTACTTTGTCGTAGGTCTAGGCTTTCTACGATTCTGTCATGGTCTACTAGCATCCTAGAGCAACAAGTAAACAGTTCAGAGTATCTGAGGCAGGGCTGGCATGTTTTGTTCCCTAGCGTGCAGTTACATCAGTGGGGCAGAGAAAACAGTGCTTTGAGGATGTTTTTCTAGTCTAGTTACTGCTCCTGCTGGCCTAGAAGCACGTAAATTCTGTCAAAGTCAAGTAGGCCTGAAACGCCCTTATTTGTGTATATAGAAACTAATAATCCCACCATCGAAAAGTGTTTATTTAGAAAAGAAATTAGTTTAATAGTGTTTATAAATAAGGCGCTGTCAGTGTGAAGAAATTCCTGGGGTGCAGTGCCAGCAGAGACTTAAAAACGCTCACTATGAAGAGATGGAACTTTGGGGCATCTCTTTGCGATATGGGGGTATATGAGAAGTTGTTTTTAAAAGCGTTGCTCTGTAGGGTGCTCATCTCTGATTCAGCCTGGGATATCTCCTCAGTGGAAATCACGGGGGGACCACAGCCCATGGCCAGCCTGTGCGAGTTGACTGAATGGCGACCTGGACAAGCGTGAGGTCCGTGTGTTCCTCCCTCCCTTCTTCCCATTGTTGTTTGTCCCACGTTTGGCTTAAATGTGATTTTGGAATAAAATCCTATATATAAAAACCTGTATTAATATTTCCAAATAAAGCCGAGAATGGTGGCACATGATTTTAATCCTAGTGCTAGAGACAGAGGGAGGCGGAGCTCTGCTTGAAGCACTATTTAGGCGGTTTGCTCTACATAGTGAGTCCCAGGGCAGCCAGTTGAGGCCCTGTCTGAAAAGTGCCCCCAAACATTTATATAACTAGAATATTAGTTTCTACCCAAATGATAAAATTACTGCATAGAAAAGTTAAATCTTTATTATTGAGCAAAGGTTGCTTAGAGGCTTAAATGTTTTAACTCTCAGTGGACTTTAGAATAGCATCACAGAGTGAAAGAATTCAGAGTCCTCCTCCTCCTCTCTGACACTGCTGTGGAAACCCTGCCCTCACCCTCCCTCCTGGGCCTCTTTTCTGTGGTCCACTTATCACTGGTTCTTCTTGTGCCTTTGCTCCAGTGTGGTGATGTGTGTCGGTGTTACTGTACCGGCTGTGTCCTGCAGGGTTTTAGAAAAGTGTTGAAAACTGACTGACTTTCAGGTTAACTTTCAAAATACTTAATTCCATGATTATCTGTAGTTTTTTTTCTTGAAACCAACAAATTTCATGAAACAGTATAGTTGATACCACATGACAAAGACATCGAGATAGCTTATGATGTGTTGTGTCATCAGCATTGTGCTAGATGGGTGGGAGGAAGACCGACTGGCACCTCCCGTGCTGAAAGTGGGAGACATGGCCCTCCCCAGGGAAAAGCTCACAACTGGCTGTCTAGCACTGCATGGCCAACCCTGAAGACTTACATACAAATAACATTACACAGACTGAGCAGGACATATATATGTGTGTGTGTGTGTGTGTGTGTGTGTGTGTAAGTGTAACTACAATTAATGATAAAGGCCATGAATTTGAAAGAGCAACGAGGTGTATGGGGGGAGGATTTGAGAGAAAAGGGAAGGAAGAAATGATGTAATTATAATCTCAAAAATAAAAATTTTAGAACTCTACCCTTACTGTCAACATAAGACACTGAAAACGAGAGCCAGGTCCTGGAGAAAGAGTAGCTGCGTGTTCCAGGTGCCATCAGACGGAGCAGAGGCTTTGTTCAGTATTCCTTCTGATAATGATGGTTTACCTCTGCCGATGCTTACCTCTGCCGATGTGCGGGTCCGGTGAAGAGCTCTCGGAGCTTGGGTTAGTGGTGCTTCTGTCTTGGCTCGCTGTGCCGCTGTGCCGTGGAAAGGCTCTTGGAGATGTAGTACCGATACGGGGCTGTCTGTTGGGCTGAGTGCCGCACGGCCTCTTTCAGGAAGTGCTCTGAAATAAGGTTCTCAGCGTGGGGCTTTACCCTGGATGTGGTTTTTTTCTCTTTCACAAGTGATTTGTTTATGAAGTCCTGCTCCACTCAGGCTCCTCTTGAAATGATAGCATATCTTGAAGAAAGGCATAAAGAACGGAAATTTTCTTGAATTAACTGCTTGTTTTGATGTCAGAAGCCCGTGTCATTTGTAGAAAGGAGGTTTGATGTTGGGCAGAGCAGGCTGTGACTGTGTCTAGCTTTGTTTTTGGCCTGTGCTGCCTTCTACAATGGACCTGCCACTCAGGCACTCCTTAGTCGTCTCTCCCACGTTTGTATCATGGCGCATCTCACATTTCCAAATTCCCAGGCACCTTCAGCTGGACTCCATGGCTGCCTGATTCTGCTCTGTCCTGCAGATCTGTTCCTGATGCTCTGTCTGCTTCCCACCACTCTGTCCCTTTTCTATCTCAAGGATGTCTAGCAGTCATCTTTTTTTTATTTTATTTTACTTTTTTTTTGCCTGACTGTCCCTGCAGATCTTCAGAAGACGGGGTGAGTGATTGGAAGAATTTGCATATAGGAGTGTCCTCAGCTAAGAAGGGAAGTGAAACCTCCAGGAGGGGAATCATCGCTGTCTAGCTATGCTGCACTTAACTTTCCCCTAAACGTGAGCTGTCCAGTTCTAAGTGTCTCCACATCAGTCACACAGGGTTTGCCAGGTTTTAAAGGGTAACCAAGCACAGCTTCTCTGTTCTTAATAAGGGTTTTAATACGGCTGCTGCCACCTCTTCCTTCCTCCCTGTGGAGACAGGGTCTCACTGTGTAGACCAGACTGGCCTTGGACTGCACCAGTCTCCCTGCCTCTGGCTCCCAAGTGCTGGGCCACAGACATGAGCCACCATGCCCTGCTTGAACTTTAGCTTGTTTGAGAACCTTGCTTCTTGACCCAGAAGTGGTAACCATTCGTTCTACAAAGGTAACAGTCGGGAACCATAGGGGCCTCCCAGGATAATGTGCTCTAGTCACTGGAGGCCACTGTCAGTGAGGAAATGGAGCGCGAGGTACTGAGAGGCTGCCCAGCCTTCTGCTGCTGGAGCAATGACTGCATTGGCTCCTTTTCTAGATGTGATTTCATCACTGCTAAATTACATCGTAAGTGTTCTATATGGAGTTGTGTTTTCTCCTGTGCTGCACAGGGGCGTGACATTTCGGCTGCATAGAAACCTCCTGACGGGACCCAGGCATCCGTGACGGGTTTCTGGCAGGAAGTGCTGCAGGCTTGTGTCTGGGGTGTTTCTCATTAAGACCTGAGTCTTTTCCTGTACGTAACATTCTTAATTGAGAACTTCCATTTTTTAGTGCAAGGCACCAGGCAGATTAGGAACTCCTCAAAGGTCAGTAGGTCTGCCTGTAGACCGTCTCCTTGGCTGCCATGACCAGCTGCCGTCTGTCCTCTGCCATTTCTCAGACTTTTTTTTCTGCCGTCTCATGCTGCACTGGCCTGGAAGATCCCTTGACCCAGCTCCGGGCCGTGTGTTTGTGTCGATGTCCCACGTTTAGTTGGCTTTGATGCTCTGTCACTACGTCCTGTGCTTTGGGAGTTGGCACAGGTTATATCTAATGGGCAGTTAATGTTGTTTGACAAATATGGAGGGGAACAGACGGAGAGGGAGGGGAGTGATGGACAGCTGCAGGGACAGCTCGAGACCCGGAGCCTAGGGGGAGGTCTGTGTGTGCGGCCGTCCTGAGCTCTTCACCGTGACTCTAGGTTGGGAAGGGTCTCAGAGCTAAAGAAATTGCATCATAGTGTGAGGCAGTAGACAGTAGGTCAAGGGTCAAAGTTTAAGTCTCTTTTGCCCACAGGAAGTTCTTACTCTCACAGGAACTTCAGGTCCACTGTATTTTGGAATGTGAGAGGAACTTGATTCCTGCCAAAGCGGCTTCCTCGTATTCCCAGGGGCTTCACTTCACTTTATCAAATGTTTTGGTCTCACTTGGTTAAAGACTGTGTGGGTGAATTTTTATTTTAGTATGAGAACCCAGCTTTTGAATAAATACGATTTAGCTAGGACACCATTGAAAGTAGAGATGGTATCACTAGCTGTATGCAGCCTGCCTCCGTGGAAGACGGGCTCCTTTGGGAAAGCTTTGTTTGTGCCACGGGCAGGTGTGTCATGGTCTTACAAGTGCAAGAGCTGTCCATCCTGATCCCCCTGCCAGCAATGTGGCCAGAGACTGCTGTAAGGCTGTGCACCTGGCCTGTCCCAGCGCAGGACACTGGACAGCAAGCCCTCAGAGGCCTGCCCACAGCAGTCCCCACGGAGATGTGAGGACGACAGAGAGAGCTCTACACTAGGGAGGAACCCTAGTCCCCGCAGCCCCGGCACTCTAATGTGACAGGGGAACCCTCGTCTCTGCTTCTCACATTCTCAGACCAATGTCTCAACTGTTGATGCTTCAGAAGGGCAGGGCTCAGGAGTTGAATGTCGGGGTGTTTCGAATAGTAGGAATTTCTGAATAAAGTCTGAGAGATGATCTAGATGCCTTTTTTAATCCCAATGATTTATAGACATAGTCTTATAGCCACTTAGAATGAAGAGAAGCTTCCTTTAATTTCCTAAATTGTCTGTGATTTAGCCTTCCCCATTCTGTCTCCTTTGTGCAGCTTAAAAATGTTGCGAACATATAATAAGACAGTTACTTACTTCATGAGAAATGACTTGAACCCAGATACGACAATCAATATGACAGATAAGTTTAACTAAATAAGCAGCAAAGTCATAGACTGCTGTTAAATTCTAGAGAGGACTCCACCTGGCAACTTACCAGTCCTGCAGCTGCTGAAGTCTTGTGCCCCGGCCAAGGGTTCACAGAGGGTTCTCCCTGACAACCAAGACCCAAGACAACCAGAACCCAGGGCTATTGTGATGTACTTGAAGTTTCAGTTAAAGGAGACACGCAGAGGACCGAGGACATTGTGTGTGACACTAGGTAACTGGTCAGAAGAAAGAGGACTTAGGTGGGCCAGTGCTGTCATTGGATCCTCAGGCCTTCCATAAGTCCCTGTGTCAAAAGCATAGTCCTCAGCCTGGAATTTATTCTCAGAAGGTGGTAGGGACCTTTAAGCCCTCAGCATGGGTCTGAGATGCAGCCTCGAGATAAATGGTTTCTCTGCTGTGCACTCCCTGCCTTGAGGCGTGTGATCCTTTTCCACACACTTGGGGCAGTGGGGCCGGTCTCAGACTGAAAGCCTCTAAAACCGAGCCAGAATAAACCTGTTGTGTTTAGAGGTTTATCTTGGTTACTGGCAACAGTGATTTAAAGCTGACTAACCCTGACTGATAAAGAAATAAGAGCATTGTTTCCAGGCTGTTTAAATACAAGCCTGCTTTCTAGTATGTGGGAAACGGAAGGTTTTACTGTGCCGACTTCTGCATGCTAAGAGTACATCAGATCATCTTTTAATTACTTGATTTGGATTTTTTTCTGCCATTATGTATATCACTGAGAAGAGCGGTGGGTCTCCCCATCAGGCAGGTCTTCATACCCTTGATCTCATTCAGTTTCCTGCTGTCCCCAGCATGGGCTGAAGACAGACTCTGTGTGGTGTGGACGGCACGGCCCGGAGATCGTTTGCTCTGTGCCAGATTGTGCATCATGGCTGTCTGTTCACCCCAGCGCTGTCACAGTTGGTCCTTGGAAACAGCGATTTCTGAAGGAACAGACAGTTCTGTCCTGCTCTCTCCTCACCACAGAAGACTTACTTCGTAGCTGGAGTCTCCCAGCCATTGGATTTTTATCCAGGAGGAACTCTGCCATCTAGTGGCCAAGATGAACAGACACTATGACCATGGCAACTCATTTTTGTAGAAAAGAGGCCACTTAGCCCAGAAATAGTCACACAGAAACTATATTTTTTAAAATCACTGCTTGGCCCAATAAGCTCTAACTTCTTATTGGCTAACTCTTACATCTTAATTTAACCCGTTTTTATTAATCTTTGTATTGCCATATGTCTGTGGCTTACTGGATGAAGTTCTGACATCTGTCTCCAGAGAGGCTACATGGCTTTTCTCTGACTGTGCCCTTCTTTCTCTCAGCATTTAATTTAGTCTTCCCTGCCTACCTCTGATGTAGGCAGTCCTTCTATCCATGTGTTGCTTTTATTGGTTAATGAGTAAAGAAACAGCCTTGGCCTAACATAGCTAGGTGGGGAGATAGAACTGATTTCTGGGAGGAGGAAGGTGGAGAGAGAGGAACACCATGCAGCCGCCAGAAACAGACACTGTGAATTTCGCCCCTACCTCGTAGCAATACACAGATTATTAGAAATGGGTTAAATTAAGATGTAAGAGTTAGCCAATAAGATGCTAGAGCTAATGGGCCAAGCAGTGATTTAATTAATACAATTTCTGTGTGGTTATTTCAGTTCTGAGTGTCTGGGACAAACAAGTGTGCCCTCCTCCTACATACCTCTGTTTCCTGTGCAGGCCCAAGATAGTTTTTTTTAATTAACCAGTGGTATTCACAGCATACAGAAGGGAATCCCACATCACCTCCCCTTTTCTGTTTAAATAAAAAGGAAGGTTTTAACTTTAACATAGTAAAATTATATATAACAAAACATGTATCAAGCAAGAATTACAGTTCTACTTTATCTTTTACTATAACTAAGAATAACTGTAACTATAAATTTTTAACTCCATCAAAGACCCCAGAAGGTTATAATATTACCTAAGTAAACAGGAAGTGCATTGTAAGCAGCTTCTAAAACTCTAGAATTGACAGAGATATCTTGCTGCCTGGACAGTCACCCAAAGGTTTTCTGTGCCGTTAGAGCATTCAGTCTTCAGCCCACAGGCCCATAGTACCTAGCGGTCTTTTTAATGAAGGAGGAAATTTGAATGACTGTTTTGCCTTTGCCGGCAGTTTGTCAGTCACCTTCTTCTGTGTCCTGCAGAATGTCTTGCAGACTCTTTCATGAAGCAGGAACCCCAAAGGATCATCTCACATTTAGGCAAGTTCAGCAGTCATTTCTCTGTGGGTTCTGCATGTCCAGTTCATCAAGCATTCCAGGCAAGAGCAGTTTCTTGCCCAAATGGTTAACTAACTCCATAAGGAGCCTCTTTGATGCCCATTGTCCTCTTGAAGTAATTGGTGCTGCCAGGAGCAGATGTGTCTCTGTCATGAAAAGTCCTAACTTCCATCATTTTAAATTCCACCTTTTGTAGTCTTGAAGAGTACCTATCTATTTGAAATACATATCTGTACATCGAGAAAATCTAACTAACATGACTACAAGCTTGACTATTATAGATGATTATCTATTAACCTGTATTTCTTAATTATACATTGCATTTTTAAATGAGCTGCACAAACACAATACCTTAACCAAGAGCAGATATATATATATATATATATGTATATATATATATACATACACACACACATATATATAATAACAAAATTGACCTTAAATTTGTATCAATAAACCAAGATCCATATCAATGCAAATCTCTATAGCATATCCCCCTTTAAATGTAAACAAACATTTATAGACAGTATTTGGGCATATGGGTGTACTTTTATCTAAACTTTTTTTTTTGCTGTTTATTGAGTAAAATAATTTTTGAGAGGTCTTTAAGGCAGCCTTTTAGAGGGTTTTGGTCCATCAAGCCTTATTAGCCTGGAATGAATCCACAGGTTTTTTATCCTCTGTGGAAACAAAAGAAGAACCTTTTTTTCAAAGCAACATATCCTTAGACCCAAATTCTGAAGTCAAGATGCCTTTATAATGTACCTGCTGGTTTAGCTTAGCTGTCCATACAATGAAATGTCTTTCTGTGCTTAGCTCTTTTACAGTCAAAACATTTAAAGAAGACACAATAATATATATAATCCAGACTCTGTGTATATTTTATCTTCATGTGGCTTTTTTTTTTACATTTTTTACTCTATGACTGTTTGTACTCTTTCTCTTTAGTGACTTTGTTTTATTTTTTTTTAAATGATTTACTTTTTTTTTTTAACTCTATACTTTTTTTTTCTTTCAAGCCTGCATACATTTATTTAATGCTGTGACCCATTTAGAGGTCTTTTTTTTAATCTGAATCTGTCTTTATTGTGTTCTTGTAATTTTTTATGGTCCAGGAGCACTTTTTAAATGCTAAGTGCTTTTTAAAACTTAAGCTACGCCATTGCTAGGGGAAATACAGTACTTCCTGCTTGTTCCGCCAAGTCCGACATGGTGGAGCTGTTCCCTGCCTCTGAGAGCCATCCGTGCCCACAGCCCCATTTTTAGACACACAGTCAGTTTATGTTGCCATTAAGCAAGTTGTAGCACTCTGGTTACAAACCCCATTTAAATGCTCTATAGCCGGACCTCCAAAAAGAGCCAGAGCTGTTTGTGTTGGCAAACCAGGAAGCTGCCATTTTTTTTTTTAAAGAAATCATGCAGTTTTTACTGTGCCCCATGGTACCTTGCTTGCTGCAAGCCCATCTAGAAAAAAAATTTGTGGCTACCAAGAAATTGTACTAAACTTTTTTTTTGTGTCTAGAATTTCTTTTTAAGCTTTCTCAGGTTTTATGCGGATTTAGTTAGCCCCATGTTGGGTGCCAATTTGTAGTTAGGAGGACACTTGTTTTTTTCTAGCCACTTAGCCCAGAAATAAGCACACAGAAGCTATATATTTAAATCACTACTTGGCCCATTAGCTCTAGCTTCTTATTGGCTAACTCTTACATCTTAATTTAACCCATTTTTATTAATCTGTGTATCACTGTCTGTGGCTTATTGGCTAACTCTTACATCTGAATTTAACCCATTTCTATTAATCTGTGTGTCACTGTCTGTGGCTTATTGGCTGAAATTTTGGCATCTGTCGTCGGAGGGGCTACATGGCTTCTTTCTTACTCCTCCTCCTTTCTCCCAGCATTCAGTTGAGTCTTCCCCACCTACCTTTATTCCCTGTGCAGGCCCAAGATGGTTTTATTAACCAGTGGTATTTGCAGCATACAGAGGGGAATCCCACATCATTATTAAGAAAACATTTAATTGAAGTGGCAGCTTACACTTTCAGAGGTTCAGTCCGTTATTATCATGGCAGGGAGCATGCAGACAGGTGGTGTTGGAGCAGCTGAGAGGCCTACATCTTGCAGGCAACAGGAAATGGACTGAGACACATTGGGCAGTATCCTGGCCATTGAAACCTCACAGCCCATGCAACAGTGGCATACTTACCTCAACATAGCCATAACCACTCCAACAAAACAGCATCCCTAATCTCCCTATGAGATGATGGGGCCAGTTACATTGAAACTACCACACCTAGGGTGAACTGTGGGCATAGGGAGGTAACATGGGGGTACTGCTTTAGGATTGGCATGGGGAGTAACTCCAGCACACCCTACCCTGAAGTATCTGCCCTGGGCAGTGCTGAGTCTGGCGTGGAATAGAAGCCCAGGCAGGGATGACGTCAGAATATCCAGCAGTAGCGGAAACTTGAGTGGATGCCTTTACCTCTGAGCAGCTCTGGCTGTGTGTGTGCTGTAGACACTGTGGGATTTGCAAGGAGGCCTAGAGCGTGAGAGACACTCACCAGAGCCCAGCAGGGGAGCACTGTGATCACCAGAGCCCAGCAGGGGAGCACTGTTCTCCAGAAGTTCCTTGCTGTCCACCACAATACAGCGGAACATGTCCTGGATGGAACTCACTGCAGTGTAGGGGTCCCCATCAGTGAAATAAACTACCTGCAAAAATCCAGCAATTTTATTTATCTCTGTGTCATCTAAGGATGGATTTGCTGTCCTGTGAGCGAAGCCTGTTTGTAAAGTTTGGAGTGCATTCTTCTAGAAACTGTGATGAGCATGAACAGAACGAGAGAGTCC